TGGATGTAGGTTGAGCGGCAGCTGCCCCCACACCCGTGTGTCATATCGACCCACTTGCACACAGCCAAAAGGCGAAGAGGCAAAGAAAAGAGGAAGGGAACAGCCAAATAAAACAGAACAGGGGGCGACAAAACAGAGATGTCAAAACATTCTTGTCTGCAAAAAAAAAAAAAAAAAAAGCTCTGATCCCAGTGTGACAACCAAAAGGAAAGAAAAGACAATCCCGGATGACGATTCCCACATACAAGCACCGCCCCACGCTCAAAAGGCCGAACAACGGGAAACAACCGACCAGGATGCCCAATAACAAAATCAAAGTAGACAAGATTAAAACAAATCCTAAATGACAATCCTAGATGACGCGTCCCACATGCAAACACCACCCCCGGCAACTACAGGCCAAACAACGGGACAAGACCAACCAGGATGTCAAAACACACTTGCCTGCAAAACGATAACCAGATGACCAATCCCACATGAAGCACCGCCATCCTTCCCTAAGATAGACCAAATAACGGGACAAGGCGAACGGGAATCAAAGCAGACAAGATTCTCATTCACAAAACAAACATTCTACCATATCCATAGTAAAAAAACGGAACCATTCAGTAGGTCCGCAAAACGCAACATCCCAACAATAGGGAAGATTAAGGAGGGAAAAAAAAATAAAAAATAAAAAATATTCTTCCATAAGAGAAGACAAAGCCTGCTAGTACAGGCCCGATGCTCGCCGCATCATCAGCAAAAGCAGAGAGCTAGCAACATCGGAGTATATATCATCACATGAATATGAGAGCGCAAAAGCAAAAAAAAGAAAAAAGAAAAAAGAATGAATTCGTTTTTTTACAAACTATATATGTATATATACGGCGAGCGTTGGGCCTGTACTAGCAGGCTTTGCTTTTGTTATGGTAGAAAATAATTTTTTAATTCGTTCCTGTCATTCCTCCTTTTCTTGTTCCTTTTCCTTTATTCTTCCCCGTTGCTGGGGTATTTCGTTTTGCGGGCCTACTATATGGTTCCGTTTTTTGACTATGGATATGGTAGATTTGTTGTGGTAATTTTGTCTGCATCCCGGTTGGTTTTGTCCCATTATTCGGTCTATTTAGTCAGCAGGTAGCGGTGCTTCATGTGGGACCAGTCATCCGTTTTTTTTTATATTGTCTTGGCATCCTGGTTGGTTGTTTCCCGTTGTTCGGCCTTTTGAGTGCGGGCCGGTGCTTGTATGTGGAATCGTCATCCGGGATTGTCTTTTATACCGGTCCTCGGGGTTCTTTTTGGTATCCTAGTTGGTTGCTTCCCGTTGTTCGGCCTATCAATGGGGGCGGTGCTTTTATGTGGGAATCATCATCTAGGATTGTCTTTTATGATGTCCCGGTACGAATTGCTTACGATGACGCCGAATAGGAATACCAACTTCTTGATGACGAACAAGGCCATCTGCTGTGTATAGATATGTATGTGGGACTTTTTTGATTTCTTTGCAGACAAGAACTGGTTGGTCTTGTCCCGTCGTTTGGCCTGTGGGCAGGGGCGGTGCTTGCATGTGGGACTTGTCATCGGGGATCTGTTTTGTTGCCCCCTGTTCTGTTTTATTTGGCTGTTCCCTTCCTCTTTTCTTTGCCTCTTTGCCTTTTGGCTGTGTGCAAGTGGGTCGATATGACACACGGGGTTGGGGGCAGCCGCCGCTCAACCTACATCCACGTGGGCGGCCTTGTACGCAAGAGGTTCTGAACAGGGGGAGTTGTAAGGAAGAAGAATACAAACGAATTCTTTCTGTTCTTCGCTTCGGCGCTCTGATATCATGTGACAATATATGTACATTTTTTTGGCCCGGCCGGGCAAGTGGTCCCGGGCCACTCTAGTGGCCTAGGTTATCCTTTTATTGACTGATTAGGTTTGTGGTTGTCTATGTCACTGTAACCAGCCCCATCTCTCTATTCTATTAATACTTGTTTTTTTTGGTGGTTGTTTACATCTCTCTTTAACCAGTGAAGATTGAACTTAACAAGGCCCATCTCTATGTTGTATGAATACAGTTTTTGTTTTTGTGGTTCTTCATCTCACTTTAACCAGTGACATGTATGAATACTTAGTTTTTTTTGGTGGTGGTTTATCTCACTAGGTTTATATCACTTTAACTAGTGAAGTGACTGTAGCAAGTCTAACGCCAAAAGACTCTAGTGTAATATATAACTTCAATTTTGGGTCGATTATTACACGTATTATTCTTATTCTTATGTTTTTATTTTATGTTTACATTTTCACTAGTTTACTGCAGTATTGTTATTAGTAATCGTGGTGGTTGTGGTGGATTTTGGGGGAGGGGAGGGATTGTAAGGGATTTGTCACGTTTTTCCGGCGAATGGATGCTCTTTGCCATCAATTGCTTACCGCCAAATTTATCACGTTTTTGCTGCGAAGGGATGTTCTTTGCCGGCAGTTGGGGAGGGCCATGTGTACGTGAAAATGGAATAGTGAAATGGGGTGGAGGAGGGGTGTGGAGCGGGGGGGAAAGGGGGATAGAGGAGTTGGAAGAAAGGGATGTGGAGACTAAGATTAACAAAGAGCAGCCAAGGTATTTTGGAGATGATGGCAGGGAGGTAAGTTTTGGGTGGGGAAGAGGGAATGATGGAGGGAGTTTCGGTGGGGGTTGGGGGGCGAGGTGGAGAGAGAG